CTAAGTTCTCACCACTTTTGCGGCCATAAGTATCCAAACAGTTATTGTTTTCAATGTTTTTAATGTCTCCTAAGGAATAGTAGTCTAAAGGCATCGAACTCTCGGGATATATATTCTCCAAATACCATCGAAAGCCTACAACCAAACCAAACCTCAATTCAAAGCAATAATAATAATAATAATGAATAAATACTTTTGCACTGAAGATCTCGTCTCAACTGCTTTCGTGACTCAGTGTCGCCCATCTCTGTCTTCTTTGCCAACGGATTTATAGCATAATAAAAGTCTTTCCATTCGTCGAGCCATACGTCTGCGAGTCTCGCGTTATTGTGATTCACTATTTTACTCGTACCGCCCGGAAAGGTATACGGCGTCGACTTCCGGAATACGTGTCCCACGTGTGAACACGTGACGATCTCAAGGGTCCCGCCACACATCCAGATGCGGAAACTGAGCTCAAGGTTCTCTCCGCCCCAGATATCCATCCCTTCGTCGTATTTTCCCAATGACTCAAAGTATTGCTTATCCATTGAGAACAACCCGCCGGCCATTGTTGGTGTCCTCACCGGAAGCGTCCGATCATTCTTTCGGCGGTCGAGTTCTCTCTGAGGAACGCGATACCTGTCCACAACATACCATTCCCTCCCTTAGTCTCAATATATTCACAAAGAATAAGATTAAATGCATTCATACATACCATCGGAAGTTGAGTTTCCAATTAAATCCACCCCAAGTCATATCAGAGGCCGGGATGTATAACATACCATTCCCTCCCTTAGTCTCAATATATTCACAAAGAATAAGATTAAATGCAATCATACATACCATCGGAAGTTGAGTTTCCAATTAAATCCACCCCAAGTCATATCAGAGGCCGGGATGTACTCAAAGTTCTCATCACTTATCACATCAATTATAGGACACACGACTCGAGTTCTGGAAAATATATTAAATGTCTTTAGAATAAGCAAAATAAATCAAAGTTGTGGTCAAGTGATAACGGGTCAGAATCATACTTTGGTCAACACTAGAGTTCAGTCATGTGCTTGATCAAGTTTTGTCATCAGTTTATCCATTACCATAATTACAAAAGTAAACTCAATTGAAAGCAGACATACCTGTCCTCAACAATTCTGGAGAGAAGTGGTTCGAGCCATCCCTTCGTACACTCGCAGTGAGCGTCTAAGAAAGTAATGACTTGTCCTTTGGCTTCCTTAGCGCCTATAAGTCGGGCCCGTATTAGACCCGACCGTTTGCCCGTCCGGAGTGAAGTGGTTCGAGCCATCCCTTCGTACACTCGCAGTGAGCGTCTAAGAAAGTAATGACTTGTCCTTTGGCTTCCTTAGCGCCGATAAGTCGGGCCCGTATTAGACCCGACCGTTTGCCCGTCCGGAGCACCCGAACGGAAACCGATAATTTCGATACATATTCCTCTAACTCTTTGCCTAAAAAGTCTATATTATAAATAAAAACTTAAATAAATAAATTGTGGAAAATTATCTATTAATCTCTAATACTTTAATTATTAGAAATTATAGTTCAGTATTAGACGACACCTGCTATTACAGTACAATGCCTTAAAGCACTGCCTGTGAGGCACTCAAATTTAGTCACTAAATGCACAGTATTTTACAGGTGTATGGGCTTACAAACAGGCAATTTGTTGCTTTTTCAAATCTCTAAATTCAACAACTGATATGATAAACCACAACGTTTAACAGTAACCAGATTAAGATTTCATCACTCGTGACATTAAATATTTTGATATCAACAAAATGATGGTCACTAAAGTACATGTACTGTAATATCACTCGTGTTATACAGAATCTGCATTTCGGTAATATTCTTAAATACATGTATTTTTAAAAAGCAAGAATATTAAACTTGCACACTTTGATCCAATAGATTTATGCAATAATTTATAATTGCAAATGTGTTAACCATTATTGAACACATTTAAATTTACTTTTAGTAAGTGTTTATCTTTTACACTTACATTAATAAACAATTCATTTGCTAGACCACATCTACCTGACCTGCTAATAGACAATACTATGGCAAATGAGATTTGAGGCAAAAAGGCTTAAATTCAATACATTTACACTTTTCTACTTCAAGTGTACATTAGATTAAATAAACAGTAATTCAGTATAAACTGAGATAAATGCAGATAAAATCAATGACATACTATAAATGCATTGAATATGGGTTTGCAAGCAATGAGAGCATAACTGATACAATAAAATGAAAGCAAAAGCAATACCTCTTTCACTCGCGTCGTCCACTAACAGAATCTCTTCAATGAGTGCCTCCGGAGACGTGCGGATAATACTATGAACTGATTCAACACATCAATCGTTACAATCAATGCTATAATAGAGGCACAGCTGAGACATACCGGTGCGCAATAGGGTACTCCAGGCTTCGTTATGAAATACGATTACAATAGACGTGGAGGGAAGCAGTTTTGGGTGATGTTTGCGACGGCATCTGGCATTCAAAGGGTCACACAATTACTATATGGTCTCAACTGTAAGACAAATCATATGACAAACCCATCCATTCGGACGTCAGGAAGAGATCGGTTGAGAGCAATGCGATCGGAGGCCAAGAGATTGAATTTATTGAGATTAAACTTTTCATTCTTCAGCTCTTCTTCGTCTTTGCCGATAATCACAGCCTTTCCGTTCTCTCCCAACCAATGCGACGGATTAGACTTCAGCACTGAATCCATAGATCATACCATTCATGAGAATCACATCATAGCCATCACACTATACCCTACCTCTTGGAGTCCATGGCTTCAGTTGAATGGGTTTATAATGAGGTAAAAAACTATTGTCTGCTCTTTGGTTAGCGACAAAGTCGTGGACACTGTTATCATTGAGATAGTCATTGGATTCATCACTGAATCTTAGGTTACTTTTGGCGTTATTGTCACTCAATTGTGAGTTAGTGTTGCAATTGAAGGCATTGTGAGCCAAACACTCCATGTAATAGACTAAGAGACATATGCCTACAATGAGCCATACCATCGATGTCAACAACATCACCCTCAGGGTATGCCATCGCACCACCGATCGCATCAGTACTGCCATCACTCACCACAAGTCAACCAAACATCACCACTGGCTCACCACCAGTGCATACCCGCGCTCATCGAGTCAGTGGTAGTCTGAGTGGCAAATGTCTTGTGTCGCGATGTCTTGATGTCTTGGAGTATTGCAATTGATATGACTATTGGTGTCACTATTGGTGTCACTATGAGAGCCACTGTAAGACTCACTCACTCTGACAGTCACTGCAATCACTGTCTGACTCTACCTCTCACTGCACTGCCTATGACTC